GTCACACACAGCATGTTAACAGTGTACCCTGTAGGTGTAAGAACTCAGCTTTGTTTTGCCCTTGTACTTGAACAAAAGCTTCTTCTTTGCTAGCCTCCCAAATGTTCCTAGCTGTTATGCAGAAATACATTAATTTTAAAACAAAATAAATTATGTACCCTTTGAAAAACAAAATTAAAACATACACACACATACACAATAAAAGTTACATTACCACATTCCTCCTTCCATGCGCCTCAGAGTTGTAACCAACACCTGTGGTCACACAAGGGGCAGACCTGGCAGCTGTAGAACCCAGATGTCAGCCACTGGAGTGTACATCCCTGGTGGCAGTCTCAACTGACCTCTGAAATGGTCTCTTGTCTGACTCCCTTTTTGGTCTGGGTGGTTGAGTAACAAGCTGTCTGTCAGGGCTAGTTCAGAGTTAGCCTACTGATGGGCTGTTCTGGATGCAATTATCTTTTGCTTTACCTTTGATTGTAAGGCATTTATTTCCTTTGTAAGGGTGAAAATTGGACTGGGAAAATTCTTAACAAAGAACTATATTCAGGTTTCTTCCAAGGACAAAATAAGATACTTTTTGCTTGGAATGAGTTTTTGGTTCCTAATTGAAATTTGATGACATTAACTTTATGTTTTAGCACACAGTGAATTTTCATTAATCAGAAGTAAAATTAAAGTTTCTTAGGTACTTCTCCCTCAGGAAAGAAGACTGATTTTCTTTTTACTGCTTCTTAAAGGTACTTAAAAATTGAAGGTGTAATTTTTGTTTTCTTAGAAAATTGAGGAGCCATAACTTTATTTTTATTATTGCTGAAAAATAATAGCACTTATTATAGAAGAAAGTTATTATTGTGAGTTTTCTTGGATCCTTAAAGAATACTTAAAGAAGAAAACGATTACACTGTGATCTCATTTCCACACCATGTGCTGAAGAATGGCATTGTGTATAGGATGCAATCGTCTTGGGAAAGAGGCAGGATAAGGGGCTCTATTTACAATGCCAAGACTTGCAGCCCTTCAGGGGAAGGTCTGCTGTGCAGCATGAGTCAGAATGCATTCTGAGAAATGAATCATCATGTGATTTTGCTGTTGCATGAACCTCACAGGTTTATTTACCAAGCCTAGATGGTATAGCCTATTACACACCTAGATTATGTGGTACAGCCTTTTTCTCCAAGGCTGAACTGTGCATCATGTTACTGTACAGAACACTGAAGTGAACTGTAACACAATGTAAGTATTTATATATTTATGCATATCTAAGCATAGGAAAAGGACAGCAAAAGTACTATGCAACAGGAATCTTTCAGTTTCATTACAATCTTTTGAGGCTACCATGATATATGTGGTCCATTATTGACTGAAATGTCATTATAATAGGGCTCATGACTGTATATGTATGTAGTCGTAGTCACGGCAAGTAAAGAAGACATATCTGATAAACATAGGAAGATGAATTCTGAAGAAACCATGGGATATTACATATCCAATATCAGATGGTATTCATCTTTCCCATGTAAAATGTTTTAATTTTTTTTTATTAAGCTTTACAAAAATGTGACTTGTGTCCCTTGGCCACCACTGACTTAGACTTGGAATAGAGACATACTATTCATGAGTTCATGCTAATGTAAATAAGTAATTGGTAAATAAGTTATTTAGGGAGAATAGACAAATCTCTCATGCAGAGGATTCCAAGTAATTTATGTAGTATGTCCCCCTCAAGGAGCTGGAGTTTAATTTCCTATTCCTTGAATATGGGCTGTGCTTTGTGATTTAAGCCCAAAGACTGGAGTTTTAAAAAGGTTGGGGGAAATGACTTCACAGTAGAGAAACTTAGGAAATGCTATCTTGACCATGTGGTCAAAGTTAACATCATCAGTAATAAGTCACATTTATAACATGCACCATACTCTTGATATAACATAGTCTCACTGAAGGACCCTTCACCTCTATAATCTTCTCCAAAACTCTATAACCCAGTTTAACTATAAGAAAACATCAGGTGAATCCAACTTGAGTATTTACTATTCTCAATCAGTCAAGGCTATTACAAGAAAAGTCTGAAACAAACTCTTTAGATTCCCCTTGGCTTCAAGAGGAGTCTAAAGAGATAGAATGACTAAACATAATGTCCTATACTGGATAGGATGCTAGAAGAGAAAAAGGATATTAAAGGATAACTATGAAACTGGAATAGTGTGGATTTCAGTTAATTGCAGTATGCCAATGTTGATTCTTGTGATGAATGTCAACAGAGAGGGAACTTGTTAGGGAACTCTTTACACTACTTTTGTAACTTTTCTGTAAATCTAAAACTATTCTAAAATAAAAACGTTATTTGAATTTTAAACAAATGATTAACATATTGCTATATTGATTATAACAGAGCTCCTGCACATCAATCAATATATCTTTTTTTTCTTTTACTGACATCTATTCACCAAACCATATGGCATAATGAATCATTTTCTTGAAACAGAAGAATATTTTACCTTTAAAATCAATTTATCTAGACTTATTTTGAGAGTCTTAGATTTCCCAATAACATTTAGGTCATGCTTTCAGTAATATGCCATAAATGCCCTAAAGGTAATATTCACAAACCCAAATTTCTCAATCATGTATCCAATACACTTCTATTTCATGTGACTGCCATTAAGAACTTGATCAATAAGGTGATGCAATAATCTCTGAAAGTAACAAATTCAATTTCAGATTCTTGAGGGCAGTGCTCACTTAGTGATGATCAATTATGATCATGGGAGGTGAGGTGGTTAGGCTGACATACCACTGTTTCAGAACATGAGTGACATTACTTCCTTGCTACTCTTCACCTATCCTTTATAATTTTATAAGAAATGATGTCTTTGGGAAATATAGAATTGTTTTCATATTATTTACAGTTTATCATTTTACTTGAGGAAGAATAAAAAAGTATTGGCATCAATGAATGTTTACTTAAAAAACTATTGTGGGTGTCTACAATTGTTAATTAGAAGTATTCTTCTGTTAACATTTTAATGTTAACAATTTAAAGTTGATTAAAATTTAATTAACCAAACAATAAATTGGCCAGAATTGCTTCTCTTTTTAGGAAAAAAGGCAAAAGTCATTAAAGAAAGCTGGAAAAGAACATATGCAACTTCCTAAATCTACATCAGGTTTAAAAATTAGATTCAGAAGTGGGCATGATGGTACATGCCTCTAATGACAGCATTTAGAAGGCTGAGGCAGGAGGATCTTGATTTTTGAGGCCAGCCAGGGCTACATAGTGAGTTACAGACCAGCTTGGACTACACAAGACTCAGTCTCAATAAGCAAACAAACAAAAACACAGCTGAGTGTGGTTGGTACCTGTTTGTAATCCCAGGTACTCCAGAGACAGCCAGGTGGATCACAGTTCAAGGTTAGTCCAGGCTAAAGCTGGAGACCCTATCTGTAAAACAACTAAAAGCAAAAGGACTGGGTATGTGGCTTAAGTGATAGAAAACTGGCTTAGCAAGCATGAGGCCCTGAGTTCAACCCCTATTACTGCCAAAAAAAAAAAAAAAGAGAGAAAGAGAAAGAAAAAATTCAGAAAATCAAACATTCTATACCTATCGTAATTTATAATTATTTATATTAAAGAAAAGAATCACAATCTTTGATACTAAGGAAAAAAGTGTTTACTATGAATTTTCAGCTAAGGCAAAAGAGTCAACTTTTAGGAATATTTTTCATTAAAAGAATTCTGGGATGGTGGGAATCTACGATTAATGTAGATAGTTATTTTTTACATTAAGTCTTTAAACAGTTCAGTTAAAAGGCATTGTGTTAGACTAGTGTGTGTGTGTGTGTGTGTGTGTGTGTGTGTGTGTGTGTGTTTAATAATGAGATTTTAACTGTCCCTTTCCCAGAGTACTAATGGCTGTGTGTCAATTGTTAGGTTGCCAGGCATTTGACAAACATCACTTATTACCCAACACAACTCTACAAGGTATGGACAATTACTATTTAATAAGTGAGAAAACCGAGGACACCAGAAGTTAGGGGTCAGAGTAAAAAGCCCTTCAGCTTGTAAGTGAAGAAATAATCATAAATTCTGGCTGCCTCTAATGCCTGACTCTTTCCCAAATATCCTATAGCTTTGTTATAATCTATATTATAATTATTTACAGTATTCAAGTAAACATTTATTTATCACTAACTTGGTGTTTTAATTCATTTAATATTTCTAGGCTTCAATTTTCTCCTGGGTAAATGGAGTTGTTTGGTTGGTTTCTATTGTGTTTTTAGGTTTTAAAATAGTAACATTGATTAATGTTTAAGATAAGATGATTTAAGTGGCCATTTCACAATATTTTTGCTAAAAATAGATCATTAACACTGGTCTTTACTAGATTTTGTGGTGACATCTTCCTAGATGTCATGTCTTTTTTCTCAAATCCCTCTAGTTCCATTTAGCCAGGATTGAAGTTCTTACCACTTTCCATGTTAGTCCTTAAAATTTACATATAAGAAGAAATTGCATGTTTTTCTCTGCACTACACAAACTATATACTTAAGTATTTGCTTCCTACAGGATCCATAACTTTCATTCAGATACGAATAATGCAAAGAAAACCATATTATGGCCCTGAAAATTATCAAAATATTCATTTATTTTAATTCATTTATTTGAATATAACAAGTTTGTAGACAAAGTACTTATTAGCATACATACAACATGGTAGACATAAATTTAAGTGAAATGTGTAATTTTTTTAGACAAAACTTAACACATTAGACAAATTTACTATGTGCTCACATTTAGTTTTTTAAAAATATATTAACATGGATATTTGAAAAGGATGGGCCATCACAAAAAGTGCTACAAAATGTTCACATCTTAATAAGTCATAGTTCCTAGACTAATTTTTTTATGAAAAGATATAATTTAATCATTGTTAATGAATAAATTAATTAACTTCAATTGTAAATGAAGTACATTTTTGTCAATATAAATATTCCTTTAACTTTTAATAATATAGCATTTTTATCAAGACCATGCCACATTTATTAAACAAACATATAACACATTAAAATTATGTACCTTTACACACAGTGTTTAGTTTTGCTATGGCATTGTCTTTACAAAAAATACATCTGAAACTTTGGCACATAAATAATAAATTATACTGCTACTAATCAAAACGAATGTGACTTAAATTTCCCATGGTATAGAAGTTCTCTATTACAATTTACCTCTTCCCTTAATAGTTTATTGATCAGTGGCAATTCTCATTCTTACTTGGAATAAATAATGGATATCCAAGAACTAAAAGTCCTACCTAGGTGTTTTTCTTAGTCTCTAGTTGAAAATGAGTGGAGTATTTACAATAGTAAAACTTTCCATCTGTATTGTGGCGGGTGGATTTCTAAATAAGGATGTTATCAGCAATACTATGCATCATCCTGAGATGTTTTTCTTCAGGAGGTGAGGGGTTGAAAATATGGATCTCTTCATAAAATGGGAACATCTGTGGTAAGGAGAGCAAACGCCAACTGAGGCAGAAGCAAGGAGAGGGGGTGAAGAGGTGGAGAACAAAGGTGGGCACAGGGGAATCCCCAGGTAGAAAGAGTTTCTGTGGGTCTAAAAAAATGGAAGTGTGTCACTGAAGAAACAGAGTGGTTTTGAGCAAACTATTACTGCTGTTTAGGAGTATTTTTAATTTCCATATCAATTTGTCTAAGTTGAGACTGAAGAAATTAACTGGAAACTTTTTTCTGAACTCCTTCATAAACACTGGAGAAGAAAGGGAATAGCATGAACTCAAGCTTTCTCTGAACCAGAAAAGAGACTTCACACTCACTCCAAGCATAGGATGCAGAGTTGTGGTAACCAAGGAAAAAGACTCAGTTCTGTTTCACAGTATTACATTTTGGGAGCCAGCTGAAGTAAACTTCTCCTTTCATAAAACCTCGATAGCTCCACTTTTATATTTATTATTTATGGAAGAGAAGTTTGAACTGAAGTTCAATTTTTATATAAACTTACTTTATTCTGAAAAATAAAACATGAAAATAATGTTTTGTTTGCTTTATGACCCTTGCTTTTCTGGGGGTCTTTCAAGAGTGAAATGTTAAAGAACACCAAGCAGGTTAAACAAAATAGTAAACTTTTTTTTTTTAAAGCTGTTAGGTACAAATAAACATAAAGATTATGAATCACAGAGCACTGAATTTTCAAGAGTGAAATCATACCAAAATCGTGATAGGTTTTCACTGACATCGTAGGAGAGTAAGTGGTCAGGAAGGTCGCTGATGATGCCCTGCACTGCCAGCACGTGCGGGGCCAAGGTGAAGGGTACGTCGCTCAGGAGCTCGGTCATTAGTGAGCTGTTCTCCAGAGTCTGGCCTGCCTGATTTTCCATCTCAGGGTCTGCTATAGTCACACTGGATGAGTTTTCTTTTCCAGTCTAAAAATACATACATATTTCAAACATTTAGACTGCATGAACTGTGAGGCTTAGTAGTGGTAAATGTGGCATCAATATATCACAAAGGTTGATTAATGTGGAATATATAAATATTCCCAGATTTGAATACATTTGGAAACACCGAATAATATCCTAGGCACTTTGCCTCATAAACATTCTAAAGTAGGCAAGATTACTTTGGACTCCCTGATATAACACTTCACAGGAAAGCTGGGTATTCAGCAGAACCTGAAAGCATCCATAGGGTTGGAAAGCAAACACAGGCTTTGTAGACATTACCTGGGCTAAGAAAACAGAAAGAATGCCAGTTTGTACTTAAGGGAGCTATGGGTGGTCAATGTGAGTAATAGGAGAGTTTAGGATTCATTTCAAAGGCTAGCAGAGATTTGGATGAATGTATTCTGCTATACAATGACAGCAATGATAGTATCTGTATCATAGGATTGTTATGAAGATTAAATGAAGTAATATTTGCAGGTAAGCAAAACAATGAAGTAAGTGAATTAAAAACGTTAGGAATATCAGATTCTATTTGGCTAGAACAAGTCTAGAATCCATTTACCCCTTCTGTGTTTGACATTGAGGCTGGTATTTCAAATAATCTTTTCTTTTTAATTCTTGCCTTCTATCTTAGTCTCAGGTGCAAATCTTCCTTAGAGCAGTTAGTCTCATCCTATACTTGAACTTCTCTTTTTTGCTTCTGAACAGAATGTTTTTCAGTTTCCTTAGCCAAATCACCTTCTTTCTTAAGCAAAAGCATTCCTGAAATCTCTCCTCCACTAAAAAGGAGGTATATATTACCCATAATATTTTGTTTCCTAAAGACACAATTTCTAAGGCTCTACCTTCCAGCAGCAATATTTCATCCTCTGTTCATGGTTTCATTATTCCTTTCCTTTACAAATCATTCTTATCCACCAGAGCATTATTCCTTGAGCATAAGCTTATATTAAACTATATCCAGTACAATAAAGTGTTTGAAACATGTGGTTTCTTGTTCATGTTCTCCTGTTAAAACTACCTTCTGATTTGAAGGTAGTTGGTTTACTCCTCTGGGCCTCAGCCCTCCATTCCATACAATGAGCTGTGAGGGACAAAAGATAGTGATGGTGTTGACAATGAAGATGGTGAGGATGAAGATAGCAAACAGTATGTAGTGAATGGTGGTGCTGATGATGAAGATGGCAACAATGATGACACCAAATAATATATACTGAACACTTACTTTGTGTTAGGTTCTATCTAAGCTGTTTAAATGTATTCACTCACTGAAGTCTTACAACAGCGCTGGTGGATGTGCCTCAGTCTAAGATAAGGGAACACTGAGGCACAGTAGGGTTAAGGAAATTGTCCTAGTTTACATAGCTAGTCAGTGATAATACTGAGAATCAAGTCCAAGGTTCTTTAATGCTATGTATTCTAAGAGCCTACCCACACAGATATGTTTTAGACTGACCAAATGAACAAAAGCCTTGAAAATTTATGGGACAGTACTAGAAAATAAATCACTAAAGTAGCCTATCTTGGCTTAATTTAAAAGGGAAAAAACATTCTAATACCTTTTACCTTTAGGAAGAAAGGACTGAGAAAGTATCTTATGACATGCTGAAAAAGGATAGCAAAGCAACTGTAATTTAAGATAAATTTATTCCTGGGAATGATAAAACCATGGGAAAAACACTACAGATAGTGAAACAAGATAATTGAGTTGATAATTGTTGAAGCAGTTAGGAAAGTATGTGGGAATGTACTACAGTATTCTTTCTTTGTGTAAGTTAAATTTTTCATAAATAAAAGTTAATGAAAGTTTAAAAAATATTTGGTTTAAAAATACCATGGACAAAGTGTTCTAGCAATGCTTCCTAGAATGATCTGAATTTCAGCTGTGCTGTATGTATTACTCCAGCATCTCTCTCTTAACAGTTGGCTGCAGTGCAACGTTACAGTCTCAAGGAGGCTGCCTGCCCTCCTGGCAGCAGGGTGAGTGCCATGATGCAGCTGCTGTTGGCATGCTGAGAGCTGGAAGGGGAAAAATTATAAGGCAAAGCAAGAGTAAGTCACAAAGAAAATGAGTCAAAATTCAAGGACCCCACACCCACTAAACCTGATCACTAAGTCTCCAGTGTGGCAGCCAGTGGAAGCAGAGGTGGGGGCTTAGGGCTGAAACAGGTGCATGAGTATCCCTGCAAAAAGCCGCCTTCTCTTTCAGACACAACATCTTGTGATTTTTTTTCATTTGCATAATAAAATGGGTCTTTAATGGGAAGAATTAGTATGTTAACCACAATGGAGCAGAAGAAAAGAATCAATTAACCTTTTGGTTAATAGCCAAATTTTAGAAAACTACTTCAAATATGTTCATAAAGCAAAATCCTTATTTTTTATGATTAATTTTCTTCACGTAAATGCTATGATAATGTTCTGAGTATAAAATTTCCTTCATATAATCTAGTTTTATTACTTATTTTTCAAATTAGTGTTTGTTCTTACATGGCTTAAATATGAATATGCCAGTCAGAATATTGCAAACTTAAGAGGAAAATAAATTTGTCTATATTATTACAACAAATAAAGTTTACAGTGAGATGTTTTCATATGTTTGTATAAAAACAATCTCTTGTTCATCAACTAATCTGTTAAAATGGACTGGCAAAATTTAATTTGAGTTCCTTACATTCTAATTATCTTTCTTTCAAATAATTCAGAGTTTAACAGGCCCAATTCTTCTCTTTCTTGAGGAGGAGCTGTAAAGATTCATGAGGTTCAATTTGAAAAATCTTCTAACAGCTTAGGAAAAAACACACTCCAAGAATACAAGGCATATAACACTTTTCAGTAAATGCTTAGAAAAAATAGTCACTTCCCTAGAGTAACAGAAGGTTTGTGGCATCCTTGTGAACTTCACTCTTGGGTGTTTGAAAGCAAAGAAATTCAGGTTTAAGAACAGACAACTACATTTTTCCTGGCACAAAAGCTCAATAACCACCATGAAATCTATTAGGAGGTGCCAACTTTGCAAACTCACTAACAAAGACCTCATGTACTTAGCCATATCTGACTAAATTAAGAATATTTATTAATATAAAAATCACTATATTTGGCATCCTTTAAAGCCTTCTGTTTTTGCGACCATGTCTCAGAGATGAAATGGTGTTCTATAAGAGTAAAATATTGATGCTTTAAGATTTAGAAACCATCCTTAACCAAAATAGCAACAGAATCTATTAAAATAATATGAAACCAGGTATAAAACACCCATCCAACACATTTGACTTACATACAAAGAAGGATATCAAGCATATTTCTAGGAAGCGAGTTACAGAAAGAAAAGGTAATATTAAGCTCTTTAAATTCTAATGTCTTCTTTGAACAATAGCCTGAACAAGCAACACTGTTACATTATCTCCCCAGATAGTTATCCATTCTATTCTGGCTTCAGCTGGTATCTGCTTGCATTACATCAGCTTCTTAGTGGGCTGAGGTGGAGGGGCAAATCTGAGTTAGGAGCATCAGAGGACAGAGGTTAGGAGAAGGTGATATAAGCCATAGCACAGAGTACTCAAACTTCCTACTTTTTTCTAATAAGCTAGTTGCTAATAAATGTGTGGCTAGCTGTTAAAATCCAGAGGACTGGCTCCCTGCAACCCATGTTCTAAGCAAGTATCTCCTTTCATTTGGGAGAAATTATATTGCAAATTCCAGTACCAAGAACAGTACCTGCACAAAGTAAGTGATCATTCAATATTTTTTTAGTTGTTATAATGTATTTTTATTTGAATTAATTTTTATTGTACTGTTATTTATTTATTTATTTCGGCAGCACTGCGATTTGAAGTAACCAAATCTACTTCCTCTGTTTCTCAGATAGGTACTGACTTCATTGTTATTTAATTTTTGGTACAGGAGATCAAAGCCAGGGCCTCATGCATGGAAAGCATGTGCTCTACCACTGAGCTTCCACCAAAGCCCAGACTTGATTTGAAAATTGAGGGCTTAGGCCAAAGAGACAAACAAAAGCCCAGAACGCTTTGCCACAGATACAGATAAATTAGGTGGGAGATAATGAATTCACAAAGGACCTCTATTTTCCACGTGGCCTAGGTGTTAGTTTCCTCTCTTAGTGAGGGGTCCTAGTCCAAGGACAATGCTGTTTGCATAGGAAACTAGGAGGCTAGGTTAGAAAGAAGACATTTTCCCTATTCCCTTTCCTTTCCTAGACTATGACATCATTTCAGTTCACATTCTTGCTCATGACTTTTTTTCAGTATTTGTTCCCTTTTCTTTCTTTTTCCTTGCTATTTCCACCTGCTTGTGCTTCCTGCTTCTCCCATCTTTCTTTGAAAAAAGATTTAAGTTCTCCACACTTCCTCTTTTCAGAACTCCAGCTGAATGTATGCAAGTGAAGAAGGGGAAGTAAGCAGGCTGTCACTTGCTTCTGTAATGTTCCATGTATTCTTGGAAAATGGACTATACTAGCCAATTAGAGAGGGGTGCCGTGGAAAAAGGAAAGAGAAAGGAATTAGGCAAGAAACAATGTGTTCAATGTTGAATCCTGGTTCAATTCTGGTTTTGAAAGTACAAAAGGCTGTTTCACTGATTTTTTTAAAGCTGGTTTTAAAGTTAGTTTACAGAAATTCATGATCTTTAACCTTAAAACAGTTCATATTTCCCCAGTAGGCTGTCTCCCCCTCATTCTTCACAAAACATATGTTACCTTCCTCTTCTCTCCTCTAGCCCTTCATTGCTACCTTCCTCCTTCCTGTGGGCAGCTGGGCCAGACTCCTACTTTTCTGACAAAATAGGAACTATCAGGTGAGCATCTTCTCTCTCTGCTCCACCTGAGAATGTATCTAGGTTTGTACCAATCCTCCTACCCAAAGCTAATTCCTCACTGGCACTGCAAATCCATCCTGTCCCCACTCTTCAAGGGCATGGCTTCATCAGTTATGAGGCACCTCTGAATTGTTCATCTTTCCTGT